CTCCTCAAGTTTTTGATGAATTTGAAGACAAGATGGTCACAGTTACTATTTTCTCTTATTTTAGCTAAGGTATATTAGGTACAAGACTTAGACTCTTCAGGATAGGACAGTTATTGGAATAATCTCTGTTATTTGCCAATTACCTGGATATTTAGTATGTGTTTCTTGCTCGCCATTGTTCTTATTGGTTGTAGTTACATTTTTTTTTTTGTGTGTGTGTGTATGTTATTACCTTTTCTTTCTCCTGGACAATACCTAATACTTGTTCTTATTGTATATTGATGGGAGATGTCATTCTGTAAATATGTTTCTCATACTGGTTAATGAATAAAGCACTGTTGGCCAATAGGAAAGAGAGATAGGAGGGACTAGGAGACAAGGAGGAAAAAGGAAATAGTAGGAAGGAGTCAGCATGGGGAGACTGGAGAGAGCAGAACACCAGCCAGCTCTCCCATAAGATGAGACCATGTGGAAACACTTAGATTAATAGAAATGGGTTAATACTTAAGACAGAGCTAGCTGGTAAGAAACAAGTAACAGGGCAACAGCTTTATATCAAATACAGAGTCTCTGTGTGTTAATTGGGACCAGATCGGCAGTGGAAAAACATACTCTTTACATATGGCGCAGCAACATGGCTAATAAGAACTTCCACTTAAAATTTAACAAAAGCTTAAAAAAGGGTTTTAGAAATAAAAGAACAAAGACAAGCAAGACTTCTTGCTAACAGCATTTTTCTGGGTTGGACTCTGTTTTGCGTGAGACGAGCAAAGATTTCCTCACGCAAAGATTTCCTCGGCTCCTTTAAGGGAGGTTTCCTGACTCAGCATAAGCGGCAAAAAACCACACGGCTTTAAAAAGCACTGCTAACAATTTATTGGTGTGTACAAGAGCTGGCAATGGCAGTGACCACATCTCCAAGCCGGCAACATGTGCCTGGAAGGCAGCATAGACCAAGACAGTGACCACAGCTCTCAGTGCTGGCAGTAAAATAGCTGCCGCCATCTGTGATAAGACCGCGGCTGACACAGCTATGACTTTCATTTTAGCAATGTTGTTGTTTACCAGATAAAGACTCGTGGCCAGAAAAAGATAAAGATTTACAGTAAAGACAGATTCACATTAAGAAAAAGCACTAAAGGTTTATATTGTGGTCTAAAATATATGTAGGGTTGGGAGAGAAAAGAAATAAAATGGTTTTAAAAAGACAAAGAGGAACTGGGTGTGGCGGCACACGCCTTTAATCCTAGCACTCGGGAGACAGAAGCAAGCAGATCTCTGTCATTGCAAAGTAAACCTGGTATGCAGAGTGAATTCCAGGACAGATAAAAGTTACACAGAGAAACCCTGTCTCAAAAAATGAAAAAATAAAAAGTAAAAGAAACAGAGTAATAAAAAAGCTGCATAAAGATGGGGAGAACCTGGATACTGTAAGGTATTATATTCTCTTTGTATTGTTTGACTGTTGAGGAAATAACAACAACTGTTAAAACAAATGTGGCTGGATCAATTCAATTTATATATTTTAAAAATGCTTTGACTACAAAATTTAAGTCTAAGGACAAGTTACTGGGGAAAAGGATTGCTATTTTTGTTCCCACAAAAAAATGAAAAGCTGTGGATTCCTTTCAAACAAATGTGGTTTGATCAAGCAAGACCCCCTGAAGCAATGTCCATGGGACAATGCAGCCTTGCAGACCACTACAGCTAGAATTTCTGCATCTTCTTAGGATCCCCATGACAGCGCCCCCTACCAGCAGGAAGCAGTTTGGAAAGAATGATGCCCAAATTCCCAAATATTGTCTATAAATGTTTGTTTTCATTTAAATAGGCTTGGTTTAAATGGTTAATGACCACAACCAATTTTTAATGGTAAAAAGAGGATTATAGTATAGATATGAATACTTTGTTTTGAAATGGATTTTCATTTATTGATACAAATTTAAGATCAATTTTGTGATATGTATATTTCTCCTCTTGTTTAGGTATTGTGTTTATATAGCTCAGTTAGAAATGTAATGTATTATTTAGTGCAGATTATAGATAGTTACCTATAATAGTCAAAACGTATAGTTAGGTGAGTTATGATTTCTAGATATATAGAGATGTATTTGAGATAGATAGACATTCTTCAAACCTTTCAAAGACCTACAGAATATGGCATTTAAAATGGTTTAGGGTTTTTCTTGACAGTGAGACATAAATGCTCCTGGCAACACCACCTGCGTCAGAAAGGAAGATGGACATAGAAGAAACGTGTTATAAAGTTTACTTCCAATATGGCAAGACTAGCCATTTGGACAAGATACTGCTCTTGTATGGACTATTTGACTTTATGCTGTATAAACTGGACATGCAGGACCCACAGAAAAGTGACTGCTGATTCAAGATGGACATTGCTACAGAGTTCCTGCTTCATGGAAGAGTCTGCCAGACAGTCTGCAGGACACAGAGAAAAATGACTGACAAGCTGCCAATACAAGAAGACAGTTTAAAGTTTCCTGCTTTGCTGAAGAGTCTGCCAGACACACTATGGCCTATGAGCTGAAGATGGAAGATTACAGAAGAACTTCGGGTGACTGACCAGGCAGTGAGTTGTCTCTGTCATTTCTAGAGTTTATATACTATCCTTCTGTGGTCTTTGAAGGAATTGAAGACAGATAGTTATGGTTATAGTTTTCCTTAGTTAGGATTAAAGATAAGTTACATAGACTTTAGACTCACGAAGATAGGATAGATGATATGTCTTTAAATCTTACTAAATGTTAATGGACAAAATATTGTTAACTGTGATTCTTACTTGATAAGTGTTGTTTGATATATTTTACTATGTTAAGGTTAAAACCCTTCTTTTTATTTAGACAGAAAAGAGGAGATGATGGGAGATGTCATTCTGTATATGTTTCTCATACTGGTTAATGAATAAAGCACTGTTGGCCAATAGGAAAGGAAGATAGGAGGGACTAGGAGACAAGGAGGAAAGAGAAAGGAGTAGAGAGGAATCAGCATGGGGAGACAGGAGAGAACAGAGGTCCTGCCCCACAGTCCGGTAAGATGAGACCACGTGGAAGTACTTAGATTAATAGAAATGGGTTAATACTTAAGACAGAGCTAGCCAATAAGAAACAAGTAACTGGCCAACAGCTTTATACCTAATACAGGGTCTCTGTGAGTTATTTGGGGCTGGCATGGCAGTGGGACCAGCAGCGGGGAAAAACTCCTTGTAACAGTATATAGTTTTGTATTAGGTTTACAACCTTCTTATTTAGACAAAAGGGGAAATATAATGGATATTCGATCTGCCCATGATCTTGAGCTATCTGGTCCAGTAGGGGCTGTTTTTTTTTTTTTTTTTTTTTTTTGTCTGTGGACATGGCCTTTTAAAAGGAAAGGGAGGGGTAGTTGCTCTCTCTCTCTTTTGTGTGGTAGTGTGAGATCAGACTGCTGGTTCCATTCACCCCGGGCAGAATGAAAGACTATGGTGGCAGCTATGTACCTTGTTGTGTATCCATAGGTGTATTCTAATAAATTCTTGGTACCCCTTTAAAAGGACTCTCGTGGATTCACCTGAACCTATGTATGAAGGTTTGTATGTGCTAGGTTGTGACAGAATATACTTTATTTTGTAGGTTCCAAGCAAAAGTTTCAACAACACTATATGAGTTGGCCAAGGCAATGTCTTATTTTGTTTAAATTATTGTTCCTTGGGGGTCTTTTTAGGAGTACTTATTCATTGTAAATGTATTTGTATTTTCCAAGAGAATGGCAGTGCAAACTGGTACATCAGAGTGCCCTACCCATGGCCTTAGCCTTTTCCACAGGGCAAACGTGAGCCATGCAGGCCTTGCTGCTTCCTTTCCACTCAGTAAGTACAAGCTGCCTGCAGCATGCCAGGGTCAGTAAGACCCTGGGGTATACCAGGAGGTCACCCAGGCTGTTCAGGAGGACCTGTGCTTGTCTGTTCACTGAAAAACAAGTGTGGAGCCTGCTTGGCCTTCCCCTTCTGAGCCTACTTCTTCATTAAAAAAAAATATGACCAGCTTCATGTAAAATTCTAATAAATTTAACCTGAATGCACTGAATTTTCTGAGTAATTATCTTATGAGTGTTTTGCCTGAATGTCTGTGTGTGCACCACATGTGTTCTTGGTGACAGTCCAGGTCACAAGGGCCTGTTGGATCTTCTGGAACTGGAATTACAGATGGTTACAAGACACTATGTGAATCCTGGGAATAGAACCCAGGTCCTCTGCAAGAGGAATGAGGGCTCCTAACCTCTGAGCCATCCATCTCTCCAGACCCCCTGGGCTATTTCTTATGGCATACTCTTTTTTTAAAATTTTTTTTTCTTATTTTACATATGGATCCCAGTCCCATCTCCCTCCCTCCCTCCCCCTCTCTCTCCCTTCCTTCCCCCCTCCCATGCTCCCCTACCACTCTCCCATCCCACCCCCACTCCACAGAGAGGGTGATACGGCATACTCTTGAACAATAAAAACTAACATCAAACTAACAATATTGGTTGTAATGAAAAGGTAATTCTTAATGATAACTTCTTAATGATAACAAAGAACTGGGAAGGAAAAATGCACACTAGCTACTTCATAAAAATCACTCATCTAGTAATATAATGTATATTTTATTGTGTGTGTGTGCATGTGCACCACGGTATAAGTATAGAGGTTGGGGAATGACTTTCAGGGGTGGCTTCTCTCGTCATATCACAGGAGTCCCTGGTCATGAAACTCAGGTCACCAGGCTAGTTGGCAAGCTCCTTCAAATGAGCCACCTCTCCAGCCAAGCCCTATTGTTTGCAGACCACACTCTCATTGTTTGCTGATTTCTCTCCTTATTTAGCCATTGTCTATTATATATATTAAATAGTCCCTCTTTGATTGTCCCTGGATGTGAGTTACACCCTGCATTTTATACCCTCCCTTTTATTTTTCACAGGAACAGACAGGATCAAATACTGAATGCCTTTTGTACATAAGCACTTACCTAGGAGGAACAGGGAGCCTGGGACATAATGTATCTGCATTTGGGCTCTGAGTGTAGTTGAAGGAATTCAAACTATAGACACACAGGAAAGACCCTGAAAGCAGAACACACGTACACTAGGCTATTTTTTCTTTTTAAATGTATTGTATCCATATTCCTTGGGAAGCCAGTGAGAAGCCACGGCCATTTAACCAAATCAGGAAGGAATTGGAGTGCATTACCCTGACATGGACGGATGGCATGCACACAGAAAGGACAGGTGTGCCATCTGAGGTGGACACGGGTTGTCTTCCTCTCCAAACCCCCAGATTCAGCACTATAAATCATAGGATTGGTATTAAAATATTTGAAGATGATTTATTGTAGGAGCTTGAGATTTTAAACCCAGCTTTGAAAATATTTTTTAAGACTCTCACACTCCATTTTTCGGACAGATAAAATTCACAATCAAGCTGCCTCACTTTTTTTCTTTTTCTTTTCTTTCTGTTTTTAATTAACGTTAAGTCTAACTGTGTGGACCAAGTGGTGTTAGTACAACTTCTGACTCCTTCTGTCAGTGAAAATATTGAACGACTCTTTGACAACTTCATCAGAAAACCTCCCCGTGGGTGATTTGAATGGGAACTGCAGGGCCTTGTATCCACTTGTCTCCTTCTTAGTCTCTAAGGTGAACTTTTACTGCCGTGAGCAGGGACCACACCCGGGTTACAAATAAGTACAGAAAGCCTCAAAACACTGAACATGTTCCTGAGAAACACTCCCGGTCCCTTTCCGCATAAGAGGCACCGCAAAGGTGTCTAATGCCTACCTTTTCAGAGAAAGTAGCTTCGGGGTAGTTACACTATCTATCGGGGACCCTACAGGCTGCTACACCAGGTGGTATGGGGAAGAGGGGGCCCTCAGCACCTACCATTGATGTCGGCAAAGAGCTGGACCTCTTCCAGGGTGTCCAACTGCCTCTCAGGACATCTGGATACACAGAGGGCTGTGCGAGCAAGCCACCGATCTTTGACTTCTAGATCGCAGGCGTTCATAAAGAAAACGTGTCTACAGATGTAGGAAACAGAAGCACGTCTCAGGCCGCTGAGATGCATTGATTTAACCGTACGCAGGCTTTGAAAATGTATCACATACCATCACAAGGGGAAATGACTAAGGCAAACGTTTTTTTTTTAGCCAAATGCTTCCAAGTAACTGAACACTTGTCACACCAACTGGCAGCATCTTGTGAACCATATTCAAATGTGACAAACCTCTCCTTTTCTAGGCTCTGTATCTGAGAAATGAGGGACACAGCAGAAGTTACCCGAGAAGGCACCCAGGAAAGGGAAAGGTGATCAAACTGTTCACGGTGTGCTAGAAACGGACACATAAGTATAATGGAAACTTCTCTAAAGTGTCCAAATGCTTCAGAGAACAGCAGAACTCAGGGAAGTGACCAGTGGGAAGAAGGGAGCTGAGGTTGGGGATCTGAGGCAGCGCCAGGAGACCTTCAGCTATTCCTTAGCAAAGGGGTCTAGAAGCCAGCCTCTCTCCACAGGGGGCAGGGGGCAGGTGGCAGGTGGCAGGAAGGTGTGCAAGAGAAATGATGGGACAGATTTCCTGGGTGAATGACACACATACTTTATTTTGTTAAAAATTTTTAAAAATTGAATTATGTTAATATATACGTCCAGTTTGCCTCCTTAATCATTTCCAGCCAGTGGAAATGGTTCCAATAGACAAGCTCTTCATCCCCCCCCCCCCCCCCCCCGCCTCTCCCAACCCAGGATATCAACAGTTACACTCCATCCCCAGCAGAATGCATACTACCTGTCTGATTGTGAGCCCTTGTCATGGGAACAATGGACAGAGTCTGCTAAGCTTTAGTTCATGCAGTCTCAGGGGATCATTAAAACACCCTGGAAAGACAGGCATAATCACCAGTTTAAAAAGACTCTGCCCCAGGTCACAGAGCTGAAAATAGCCGAGGCTGAATGTGAACCCGGGACTGACTGATTGTACAGCTGCTTGCTCCCTTCCTGGTACGGGCAGCCTCCTTTTCAAACAGGAAAAGTTGCCCGGCTCTTAAATGAATGCAAAGCTTTGAAATACAGCCCCTCTCTAGGTTGGAGACCTAACTCCCAAGACTTACTTTTTGAGAGTCATGTCCTGCCCCGAGAGTGGGGCGCCTTCCACGGGGGAGTTCCTCTTGCCACACACATTGCCGAAGCTGTCATAGCCGAAGAGGAGTCTTCCAGCTGCTCCAGCCACCACCGAATAGCCCATGATGAACACCTGGCAAAAGCCCAGGGGCAAGTGATGACTGCCTGGCCACCGGGAGAAGAACATCACAGCCCCTCACATCCCTGAAAACGCTGGTGTGCGAGCCAAGTACATAAAGGAGGAATCGCTACAGCAATTCTACCCACCCCGGTAGGGCCCAGCTGTGTGAATGCTGGCGCAGTACACGAGCAGGAGGGCAGGGCACCCTACAGCACCCAGGCTTGACTCTGCTCTCTCCTCCTCTTTGCCTCATTTGAGAGGCCACCACTTCTGTGATTTTTTCAGCCAGACTGGATGGGTTATCTAAGTGCATCAAGGCTGTGCTAATATTTTCCTGTGTGTTTATGTGTGTGTGGGTATGTTTGCACATGTGTGCAGGCGTGTGTATGTGTGGAGGTCAGAGGACATGGTTGCTATGCCCACAGCCTCTGCTTTGGTTTTTTGAGACACAGTCTGGCTGGCTTGGAACTCACCAAGTAAGTCTAGCCAATGAGGCCCAACCAACTGTCTGTCTGTCTGTGTCCTCCTCCGATCAAATTCAGGTCCTCTTACCTGTAATGCCAACACTTAACTGCCTGAACTATCAGATATCCTGTCTTTTCCTAAAAATGACCTTTTCAGCCAGGTGGTGGCAGTGGTGGCTCACACCTTTAGTCCCAGCACTCACGAAGCAGAGGCAGGTGGATCTCTGTGAGTTCGAGGCCAGCCTGAACTACAGCGTGAGTTCTGGAACAGCCAGGGCTACACAGAGAAACCCTGTCTCGAAAAACCAACCAACCAACCAAAATGTTCCCTTCATCTTATTTTTAGGGAATTTGATCAAGGTTACACAATCCATAGGTATCTACACACAAGTCTGAAGGAGAATTTGGGTTACTTGCTTAAATTTCACAAAACAAAGAACTGAGAAGAATCTTAGGACTCTGCTTGACACGGGTACCTTGCAATCAGCAAATACATACATGTATACATACATGTATACACACACACACACACACATATATATACACACACACATATATATGTATATATATATTTGTCATTGTTATTTTGTAAGTCCACTTTTATGGTGAATGTGGAATGTTTGAAACTTCAGTCCCAACCACGGCAACATTTGTACATACCAGTCTGTCCACTGCCAAGATTTCTTCTCATAATACAAACTTAGCGTGGGGGTAAGTTTCCTGATCTACTATGTACAGAATGCCACCTAAAAGTATGTGGCTTATTCAGGGACAGAGGCTGTGGGACACTATCCACTAACATAAGGCATGGCCACATGTTCCAAAGACCCTGCCTTAAAGTCAACATACTTGAGAGGCTCTGCATTCCTTGTCGTTTTGAAATAAAGCAGTAAGCTGGGCAGGTGATGCACGCCTGAAATCCCAGCTTGCAGGAGCTAGAGGATGCAGGATCAGGGGAATTCAAAACCAGCCTTGGTGACAAAATGAATTCAAGGCCAGCCCCAGGCTACACGAGACCCTGTCTCAAAAAAAAAAAAAAAAAAAAAAAAAAAAAAAAAAGCAAGAGTATAAAATATTCTTCAAGTGCTCAGTGGATGCTACAGACTGTTAGAGGGTGTAAAGATAAGCAAAACCAAGTGCCTACTGATGGGAGATGTCATTCTGTATATGTTTCTCATACTGGTTAATAAATAAAGCACTGTTGGCCAATAGGAAAGGAAGATAGGAGGGACTAGGAGACAAGGAGGAAGAGGAAGTAGTAAGGAGGAGCCAAGATGGAGAGGCTGGAGAAGGTAGAACCGCCAGCCGCCTCTCCCTGGTAAGACCACGTGGAAATACATACAAATGGGCTAATAATTAAGACAGAGCTAGCAGATAAGAAACAAGTAACCGGGCCAACAGCATTGTATCAAATACAGAGTCTCTGTGTGTTATTTGTGGCTGGCCTGGCAGCGGGACAAGACCAGGCAGCGGGCAGCAAAACCCATACTCGTTACAGCATACCCTCAAAATTCACTCCCCAGGGTTATTATTGATGACACTGCCCTTGGCTGAGGGGAAGCCCTTTGCAGATCCCAAAGGAACAAACTTATCAGCTGTTGACCATATGAGGGGGAGGAGACCCATGTCCGTTCTTATTTCTCAACTCCCTCCTGAGTTTAGCTAATACGATTTTAGGATATATGGGTCACTTCTGCTAAGAGTTAGGGTCACTCTTCTTCATTTCAAGGCAGAGCACTGAAGTATGATTCTGTGGGCCTACGTGGCCTTGGTGTGTCCACCTTCTGTACCTCTACTTAGACCCAATGTCACCTGTACTTGTGTGTACATGCTTTTGCCTACCTCCCCAGAGAGTTATCTAATAACAACATGATACTTTCTGTGTGATACCTCCCTTGGAAAGTTTGCGGGGTCGATAACGCATTTGGGTTTTCTTGAGTTTTCTTCACACCACTAGATCTGTGAACCACCACAGCCATTTTGATTCCACATGAGGAGAGGTGGTAAGCAGTCCTTGAAAAAAAAATGGACCTCAGGGAACTAAACTTTTCCTAGGGCATCCCAGGCATGCCTTCCCACCGGAGGAGGGAGGCCTCATCTCCCAGGAAGAGATGCCAAACAGCACTGCTATCTATCACACAGCTCAATCTGCACGGGGTATTTCCTGGCTTTGTTTTTTTGATTTGTAAGACTCCAACAGAAAAGGTAGAGAGAAAAACACAACTCTTTGACCTCCAGTTCTGCCCAAAGCTGTAAATAAACACACTTGCCTTCACTATTCTGTGGTGATATATTATTTATGATTTAATAAAGATTGCATGAAGTATCAGAGTGTAAAGCCAGCCACACTAGTCAGCCATAGAAGCTGGGCAGTGGTGGCACACACCTTTAACCCCAGGACTCAGGAGACAGAGGTAGATGAATCTCTGTGAGTCTAAGGCCACCAAGATCTACACAAGACTGAATCAGTCTAAAAGAGAATTAGAGCTCACCCCTTTAATCCCAGCCCTAGAGAGGTATATAAAAGACAGGAGCCCAGTGACTCAGGATGTATTCTGAGATTAGTCTCCAGCCACGCTGAGGAGAGGCAGCAGTCCGAGGCTTGGTGAGAGCTCGTGGACACAGGATCAGCCCTTTCAGCCTGAGGTAGAGGTAAGAGCTAGAGGCCAGCCGCTTTGCCAGCTTGAAGCTAGAACCCCAAAATCTGTCTCTGGGCTTTTCTTTTTCATGTTATTTACACCTTTCCTGTGGCTTGGTTTTCTTTTGTTAAGGCAAGGCTGCCGAGCTCCTGGCCTCAGAGGCCAGACTCCAATATCAGCAGTATAGGTAGTGTGTATGCTAGGGTGCTGTGGCTTCAAAGGAAGTCACCCTAAGCTGGGTCTGGGAAATGGGAGTCTTGGAAGATAACTAGGAAGGGGTGATGTGGGAGAGGACGCTGGAGGGTTAAGTAGAGGCAGGGGTCATTCAGAGCCTCAGATTTGCTTTCTGTGTGTGTATTTAATACGAGCATAAGCACAAGCAGGAGCTCTTTCTACCTGCAGGGGACCAGCTCTGCTTGCATTTTCTCCCAGCCTCCTTGTCCAGCCCCAGCTGAGGGCAGCGCGACATCAATAATAATCCTGTCTTACACTGTCAGATGGTATATTTACTACAGGACCCAGAAGTGGAGCAGAATGAACACACACACACACACACACACACCACACACACACACACACCACACACACACACACACACACACACACACACACACACACACACACTCGTTCCGCTTTAAATAGGTAGAGGTAGCTAAAATTTTCGCAGAAGATGGAAGAAGCCAGTCAGCTGAGAAAGAACTCTTATGACTAAACTTAGGAAAGAGAATTTGGGTACATGGAAACCTTTAGATTTATCCTATAAAGTGTACTTTCTCTGCAGTTTCCAGCTCAGTGCATGCAATGTCTCAGCCAGCTCACAATTCTTCAGGCTGTGAAGGGCCGTCTATGATCGTCTCCCTAGGAAGCTGCCTGCCCCAAGAGTTTGAGTGGTCGAGGCACAAAGGATCATGAAATAACATTAACAGCCCAAGGTCAAAGCTACAGACACAGGAGGGACAGCTGTTCCCTCTTTACATAAGAGCAGACCAGGAGAACAGTGACCTGATAGGGAACATAATGTAATAAGACTTGGTAGGTACACAGCCTTCTTTGGGCTCCTTGAGAGAGCGCCAAGGGCCTTAGTAAGAGCAGCAGCAGCAGCAATAACATCTCCAGGCCTTCCACTGGGTGCCAAGTCTATCTATGCAAAACCAGTTAGAAAATTAAAAACTGAATAAATACCTCTTTCCTTGGGTAAAACAAATGTGGTATTTTAGGGTGAATTCAAAAAGTCTTTCCAAGGAAGGTAATTACTATCAGGTAGATATTATAGGGCACTGTGAGTTAATCATTTATTATGCAGCCATAGCATGCCCCAACCTGGCATGGGTGACTTCATCAGCACAGCCTTTGAAGAAGGCGACAGAGTCTCTGAGAGAATAAAGACCAGGCTCCAAGAGACTCTCAGGATTGACACGGCTGGTCTGATGGGCTCTACCACCAACCACGTATACCTGAAAGTATGCAACGAGAGAGTTTGCATCAATTTGTTAAACACAGTAGACCATGCATGTGCATGCATGTGTTGTGTATGCTTCTGTATGTACACAGTTAAAAAAAAAAAAAGGTCTCTTTCTAGGCTTTTCTCGATTCCTTTTCCTTTGGTAGAAAACAACAACCGATGAGGAATATTTGACTGAGGGGTGTGGTGGGTGTACAAGGACTTCTACCCTGAGAGCTTGCTTTCGCCTCACCCTCACCAAGGAAACTACACCGCTGCAAATGGGTTCTCCGTTTCCTAAAGCAGACCCAATAGATCTAGGTCTACAACAAGCAGAAGCCTACTCGTAAGTTTAGGTGATTGTGAAACCGCAGAATAAGAATTTCCTAACTCGTGGTCACTCTGGGCCAATCACACAAGCTTGTCCTTGCAGCATAAACTTTAAGCGCTTAACATTTCAGACACATTGGTGTCTAGACATATACACACACAACGGGGCCTTATGCCTGCCAAGCAGCCGTACTTACCAAACCAGTCCAAAAGAGAAAGAACAGGACTAGCCACGCCGTATCTGTGCATTTCCTATAAATCTGGGGTCGCCACTCTCTCTGCCTGGGTGTTTTCTCTGCAGAAACCTGTCAGAAAAATGAAGAGTTGAGAAAAGGAACAGAAACAGGTGAAATCAACAGAATCCAAACCTATGCAAAGGCAGCTTAAAGTAACTCAACTTTGTCACCTGACTCTTTCTCCTGAGAAGACCAGCACGGTGGATGCGAATTCCTCTGGGTGCCAAGTTCTTGCTGGAGGTAATAGCACCCCTGCCCCCATGCCCAGTCCCTTGCCTCTTCTGACCTCGGCCTTGTATCCTCCCGGCCAGGTGTCCTTAAAGGAGCGGTGTCACTGGACACGGGAGGCAGAAGTGTTCTGCCTGTGCAGGTGCCTGCAGAGGCCGTTTCCATTAGGGTCCAGGTTGTCTCCCTTACCAAGTACTCGGCGCCCAGGCACTGCATGGTACACTCGGTAGCTAGGTCAGGGGTTGGCAGCCTTGGTGGCTGCGGTGCACGGTGCACACGGGACAGAGGTACAGCGGCCAGCCCAGGTGGCCCTGGCAGGGCCGGCAGAACGCAGCGCCACCTAGTGGCCAGGGGCGCTAATCCCCTAGTCCCGCCCTCTCCGCTGTGACTTTCGGCTGGGAACTGGAGTGGCACTCGCACTGTCCCGGCTCCCAGGAAGTGCACCTGACTGCTGTGTGCCAGCTGCGGGCTGTCCGCGCCTGGAGTCGGAAGTAAGGCCTCAAGGATCATTCCCGAGGGCGGGGAGTTTGCAGGGGTGTGCCACACACAGGTAACTGGCGCTTCCTGCGTGCAGAAGCCTGCCCTAAGAGTTTCACCAGCTTTTTGTGACAAGCATCAAGTGGCAAGCTGCTGTTTATCTGTGAGGAGGCAAGGGACAGCGGTGGTGCTCAGGGAGACATGCCGTCAAGGGGCTCCGTGTTTACCGTTCCAGCCACTATTTCTACAAGGCTGCACTGTCTCCCCACAGAGTACCTTTCAGAAACTTGACTCTCAGGAGCTCAGAAAGGACAAAGTCCCCGGAGACCAAGAACTGACTTAATCTGTGTCTGCCAGCGCGCTCGCGGGGTGGGGCTGAGGAGTTGGAGGGTGGGGGAATGGGGAGTGGCGCTAGCTCACTTCTCTCCTACTTTGCATCATCACCCGACTTTACAGTGGGTATCCTTCAAGAGGGTGTGTATGTCTCATGGCTACAAAAGCGCTGCTGAGGCGAGGAATCAGAAACAACTGCAGAGCACCTCTTTCTCAGGTTGGTTTTTTTCTTTTTGATTTTTCGAGACAGGGTTTGTCTGTATTATTTTGGAACCTGTCCTGGAACTACTTCTGTCTGCCTGTCTCTGCCTCCCAAGTGCTGGGATTAAAGGCGTGTGCCACCAATGCCCTGCTTTGGGGCTCCAGCTCACCTACGTGTCCCTCCACACCTTCAGGCCGCTGGCTCATGGCTTCTCCCCAAGGGTAGAGACTGGATTGCAGCCATAATCAGTAAAGCAATAGAAAGGGGAGAGAGTCCACGTTGTACAGTCCATGAGCTTACGAATGTGAGACCATTCCCTAGAGCGTATCGACCCACCAGGGGCCATCCACACTCTTAAAGAAAATCGACTCTGCCCAGAAGCCATCAGCTATTAATAGTGCCTCAGCTAGGAGTCTGTCTTCCCTGTATGACAGAGTTTGTTCTTGTGCAGGCTTTGAGCAGGCAACCACACCTACTCTGAATTCCTAAGAGCAGTGGTCCTACCATGTTTCAGGAGGTATTATTTTGCTCTGATCCCTGGCTCTTACATCTTCCTGCCTTTTCTTCTGGAATGTTCTCTGAGCCTTGGGGAGTAGTTAGAAGGAGGAGTTGTTTTGCACGTATCTATAAAAATCTAAAACAATACAAATGTTATATTGAAAGTAGCCAGGGTGGGTAGAGGTGGGTGATCTTTAGTTAATGGATGTCTTGTGTGTAGGGTGGAATTCCCTCTAGAGTAATCATCACCGGCCCACTCCTAACTCTTAGGACCTTCCTGGAGGCATGCTTCTGAGTAGCTGAATTCCAGGGGACCCTGAATTCACTCCACCCCCCCCCCAGCACTCCCCAAGGAGACATTGTACAACCACAGAAAGACTAGAGCTGAATAACAGCATCCGAAACAAAGAGTACTAGAACAGATGGACAGAGAGCTTTAAATAACACAATATTTACAAAGAGGAGTATGATAGTAAGAACGAAGCAAGGCAGAAAAAAAAAAAAAAATGGTGAAACCAGAGCAAAAAGGTTCTATTGGCATGGAGTATGTAAGGTCTGGGATGAGTGCTTATTGGCCCTATTTAGTGACAGCGTGGACTAAGCGGCAGAGGAGACGTAGCTGAGGATGAGGGATTGGAAGGGCTGTACATCTCTTGTCTCATACATCTGAATGTACGAATGACCTGATGAAATTTCCCACTTCTATGCACCAAGGTTTTACTGCCTCTTAGATGCCTCCTACTCAAGTTTTTGATGGTACACACTAACCTTGAGAAACAGTTTTCTTCTTCCTAAGTGTAAGCTGAGAGTTCCAACAGAAACTTGAGAAAGTCTTGGGAGCAGTTCTTTGTGATTTCTGAGACCTGGTCCTGTGGGCTGTTAGACCTGGGCTTTACTCATCAACCATTAAGAGAAACATATTTACAGAAAGACATTTCCCATCAAGAAAGAATCAGGGTACTCTGATTTCCCTGCTTTCTTCCACCCGAGCCCCCCCTACCCCCCCCCCCCAAGCCTTTGGTTGGAGAAGTCCACATGCAAAGTGGGTTCTGTCCTCTAGTTCATCCTTTCTGGAATCACCCTCCTAGACACACCAGAGGCGTGGTCTCCCACTTTCCCGCTACGTGGGGGTTACGTGTGCCCCCATTCTCTTCCATCCAGCATGGAACTTGTCCATGTGTAGGAACCGTGTGGAGTTGCAGAGTCAGGAAAGCTGCTGACCGCCCCCACAACTTGGCTCTGATTTAAAAAATTCTTATATGGGGATTTTCTCAAGAGACATTTGCTGAATTATCTTGAAGTTTACAATCCAGCACCGTTTTTCTGTTCTTTGTGAAGTGAAGCCAAAAAGAAAGCCGAGAGAAGGAGGGCAGAGGACATGGTGTGCACAGAGAAAAAGTAAGTAGTTGTCATGGATGTGAAAACCTAGGTAGCAGCTGGAGGGCATGAGGCCAGGTTCCCTTCTCTCTGGGCCTCGTGTAAAATGAGCCAGGCTCTTTGTTGTCCCCCATCTCTGAAAATCTAAAATTTAAAAACATATGGTATTTGTGAAAACTAAATGTCCAAAGAAAGTAAATTAAGCAAAAGAGAAGCAAGTGGAGGAGACGTGATCAATTAAAACCAATACTTGCTCTTTGAAGGGAAAAATATAGAAAGAAAAGTCAACAGGATAGGGATAAACTATGCATAATATATTACGATCTGGAAGATATGGGTAGATCTAACCACAGCGACAGCAATAGCCTTTACTTTGTTTTTCTACGATGCTATTTTCCTTTAGTTCTATAATGCTTATTTTCCCCTGTAGTTCACATCTATGTTTTACATGAGCCATATTATATTGTGAGTCAGATTTTTTTTTCATAGAATGGCACCCACCATCCTCCAAGAGCTTTGAAAAACCCGGTTAGTGAGGGCTAATGTAATTACCATTGTCTAACAGCAGATGGCACTATAAGCCAGTGGCTGTGTTAAAAAACAAACGAGACCATCTAAGTTTTTTTTTTTTTTAATGGATTCTGAGCTAGATATCTTCTCTTATCTATATTTCTGTTATTTGCATATTAACTATTAATATTTCAAAAACTGAGGCAGCTTTTATATTACACATATTTCTACTTCAATGTTGTATGCTCTGTCAAAAGCTGCTAAATAGATTTAACTTCTTATATATTCTTTAAGTTGTCTAGCATATTTAATATATCACGAAGCTCAGCAGTATTTAGATTAGGTAAGAGATGTCTTACCTCATTGTAAGGAGGATCTGAGTTTAGGCAAGTCAGCCTTGAGGCCAGACTCCAACACATGCTAGTTGTTGGCCAAATTTAGCACATCCTTTAACAACTTCAGTTTTCCTGTCCCTAAAATGACCAAGTTAGATGAGCCTTGTTTTACATCCATTATGTAAGCAACTTCCAACTGATATTAAATACTTTTTGAAAGATTTGGTTAACTAAGATACCAAACAGCCACCTTTAGTTTATAGGAAATAGGATAATTGGTCTACGCTATTTAGTGAATTAGCTTGCTGACTCATGGGAGTTGTGTTCATATGAGTCTTTTTGGGAACACACAGATCCCAAGGGACTTGCTCATCTTCCTTAGTACTTGGCTTCAGGGCAGACCTTTCTGGGATGACATTAAGTAGGCACATCCCAGGCTACCCAGACCTATCAGTGTGAAAACTCTGATCTAAGATGCGGTTTCCTATAAACTGTTGTTGAGGTTGCATTAATTGGCTCAGTCCTGTGGTGCTTGCAATATGGTGATTTTACCTGTTGCATAGTGGAAAAATAAACCGGAAGAGAGGCATTTCTCTGTCCATTTTGCTTTCAGCTGCTTACATGTCTACCTTTTGTAGCTTCTACCTCCATTGTAGGAAGGATGTGCTGTCTGCACTGTGTGAATCAATGAGAGTTCAAGGCAGGTGAGCAACTGGTCTAGACAACTGAAACTTATTTAACTGTTAACTGAATTAAGACCCTCCCTGAAATTCACATTAGACACCCCAGTCCCCAGTACTTCAACATTTGGGGATAGGTTTTTTGTTTGTTTGTTTGTCTGTTTGGGTTTTGAGACATTGTTTCTCTATGTAATAGTCCCTGCTGTCCTGGAACTCACTCTGTAGATCAGACTGGCCTTGGATTCACAGAGATCTGCCTGCCTCTGCCTCCCAAGTGCTGGCATTAAAGGTGCGTGCCACCATGCCTGGCTAAACCATTTTATTCTTTGAATATTTATTTTTACATCATGTACATGAGTATTTTTCCTGTATGTAGGAATATACACCATGCACATGCCTGATCAGATCCCCTGGAACTAGAATTACAGGTGATTGTGAGCCACCATGTGGGTGCTGGTAAATGAACGTGGGTCCTCTGGAAGAGTAGCAAGTGCTTTTCACCAAATAACTGTTTCTCTTGTCTCAGGACCATTTCTCAACAAGAACACCTCTCCCCTTCTGTTAGCTGAGACAGTTAATGAAAGATTCCCCATCTCAACTCTTTCTTCATATTTTTAATGATGATTTATTCTTTGTTTTTTAATAGCTTGTATCTCAAATAAAACACACACACACACACACACACACACACACACACACACACACACACACCAAGATATTGAAAGATCTACTAAATAAAAACAACACACACCAGAATGGCTTTTCTGCCTCTTAGTGTTGCATACAGAGATGTTAGAATTAAATCTCATGTATGCGCATTAAGCCTTTGTGCCGAGGCTTTGACAGGCACCTCTGAATTGGTGGTGGACAGTGGACTGCAAGTCTGGACAGTGAACAATAG